AGAGTCACTAATAATTATCGGAATAGAAAAAATAAAAAACTTGTGCTTATTAAGAAGAGTCAGATCAGAATTTGCCAGTGAAAAAGCTTTTAAAATGTCTGACTTTAATAAATTGATAACTAAGTCAGCATCATAGACTATCTTTTGAGATCTCAAATATTCAAATATAATGCCTACCATTTCACATACATCCATAATATTCGGAGCTAATAAAAAACTTGGACAAGCCTTCTCAATGAATGATAAACTAAATGTTGTCTCAACAGAATAAATATTAAGAGACCTAAAAGCGGCAATATCAGGTGAATTAAGATAGAGTGAACGAACAAAAAAAGCCTTCTTTAAGTCAATATATTTCTCAAATGAACTAGTATTACTAAAGCTGGAGGATGTTGTCACATTACCAAAACTTTGTGAAACAGCAGTAAGGGGTTGTACACAACGAAGAAGAAATTTGAACTCATTTTGTTCTCGAAGAATATTAAGTGTTGCGGCACTACTACCACCAACGATTTTCTTTTTCATCTGGACTATGTTAAGTAATTTTAAGCGTAACTCTTTCTTCAAAGACGTTAAAGTGGTCCAGTATTTTAGTTTTGTGAACACAAAGGCCATTGCAACGACACCAAACTCAACGAAAACAGTTGCAAGTACACAAGGTCAGCGTCAAACGGACAACCGAACCGGTCAAACGATCAGCGCAAATCGGGACCGAAAAACGAAGTTTTCGTGCGACGTCGTTAACTAAATAACATTTAACAATAAAGAGTCAATCGTCGTCGAAAAACAGAAAACCATGAATTGTATCGTCAATTGTAAATGGAGAACGTGAGTATTTCTTTCCATCTCAGAAGGTGACTAACAACTATCCGTTGCAGAAGATGGCCTCGAGGATGACGTGGATGAGACTACGTCTGATCGTGAACAAGCCACTGATGAAGAAAATATGGACTACCATTTATGGGATTTTGCATCAAGCAGTACGAATGCCTTAGTACCGGCTATGAAATACAATCAATTAGTCGTGCAAAATGCGCAGTTACGAACAAAAATTTTGGAAATAAAACAGGATGATGCCCATTACAAAGCATCGTCATTTAGTAAGTGTCTGTTTTTCCGAAACCTCATATAGATTGAGAGAAAGTTTTATTTACTTGCGCTTCTTGCTAAAAAGTTTGTTGAGATAACTAGGAGAGGATACGGCCCACTCAGAAGTAAACAGTCCATGTGTGCTCGCCCATGTCAGAAATCAGCAGGGTCATGGTTTCTCGAAACTGTAGAGAAAAGAAATATTTCACTTCTTTACGAATAGGCGTGTTAATTTAGGGTAACTTTAGAAAATAAACGTAAATAAATCGTAAATTAAAAACAATTTGATCTTTATTTTATAAAAGTAAATGATACATTTATATTTATTTATTTTCACCTTATTTTTAAAATAAAGATAAATGAATCATTGATCATTGAAGATAAAATTTTCTTTTATTTATTTATTTATATTTATTTTTAAATATAAATGACGAATTTATCTTTATTTTTTAAGTATAAATGATTTATTTACATTTATTTTCTAAGTTAACCTAAATTAACGCCCCTATTCATAAAGAAGTGCAATATTTCCTTTCTGTACAGCTTCGAAAAACCATAACTCTGCTGATTTCTGACATGGGCGAGCACACACATGGACTGTTTACCTCTGAGTGGGCCGTATCCTCTCCTAGTGACCTCAACAAACTCTCTAGCAAGAAGCGCAAGTAAATAAAGTTTTATTTACTTGCGCTAGAGCAACAGCTAGAACGGAGTTCCTTTCTTCATTTAGAATCTGCTGAGCGCGCAAATCCGGATGATCTTGCAACGGTCTGGCGAAAATGTCACAAGCATTGTCCTTGATAGAGCAATAGCTAGAAAGGAGTTCCTTTCTTCATTTAGAATCAGAAGATCATCCGGATTTGCGCGCTCAGCAGATTCTAAATGAAGAAAGGAACTCCGTTCTAGCTGTTGCTCTATCAATGACAATTTTAACTTACCCAGACAACCAGTTTCAATCGCTGGGTTAAATCATCTACGTATGGACTCATTTGAGCTAATTGTTGTTCAGAAAAAATTGCACGTGTAACTTTTCGAACTGTTTTTCTTTCATTATCTTGAATCAAATTTTTGAAATATTGAATCGATTTAATATTTGGCTCGACTCGTTCTTTATAATAAAGAAACTCGGCATTTGTCATTGGTTCTGGCGATGTAAACACAGTTGCCATATCAATATAATGTTGTTGTATTTACGTTGATGGAAATTCAAAAATATAATAATGTAATAAAAGTTGTAGTCAATAATGATGAGAAAAAAGCCGAAGGGAATAAAACTTTATATAGATTGAAAGAAAGTTTTATTTACTTGCGCTTCTTGCTAGAGAGTTTGTTGAGGTCACTAGGAGAGGATACGGCCCACTCAGAGGTAAACAGTCCAACAGTTTGACGTTAAAAAGAATCCTTGGAACTATTGGACGATACCTCAAAAATAACGAACAAAAGGCCGGTTTTATCTGGCCCACCCGTTATTTCTACCTTTATTTTCAAAATAAAGATAAACGTTTTTTCATTTATTTTATCTTTATTTTTTAAATATAAATGATTCATTTACATTTATTTTCTAAAGTTTGTTATGATCTGCCATTCTTGGCAGCTCATAAGGCTATGAGAAGTGAGTGAGTAGAACCTCACAATTGGTGCGCTAGCCGGCCGATCGTCTTTCCCATCACGATGCGGTGCGGTTCGGATGATGAAAGATTTATTTGGCTCAGAAGTTTGTCCTCGTCTTCTGATCATCGTCGATCGTCGACCAGGCAAATCACAAGACAGTGAAGAAAGAAATGGCACAATGGCGTGCTGCGTCGACCAAGTAGTGGTTTAGCATATCATGCATTACAAAAAATTAAAAATTTTTGTTTAAATAATCATGAGGATAATGATGAAATAAAATCATTAAAACATTTACTAACAAAAAAAATAAATCAGTATTTTTATGATGATCCTTAACAGTTAAAACTTTTATAAGTTAGTAGTGGCTAAATATGGGAGTATTAGTATTGCGAGGAAATATACCTAATGCACAGCCAACTCTTTCTAAAGAATTTGTCGTGTTCAAAATTAATGTCAGAGTGCTGGTACTGTTCCATGCTATGAAATTCTATAGAGCATATGACGATGTCGTTATTGTAGCAGATTTTGATGCTTTATTCTACGTTTTAATTTTGTTTTTATATACTGTATAAAAATAGCAGATTTTGTATTTGACTAGTACTCGCATTCGCTCATCTCTGATAGAGAGTGTGATTAGGAAAGTATAGCTTAAAGTCAGAGATAGTTTTTCAATAGAGTATAGAAAAGTATGGATATTATAAAAAAAAGCTCTCTTCAGTTCCTATTATGATTATCGCAGAGTGACCAAGGTTTTTTCAGTCATTTATCACGTATTTTCAAAGTTTTGACAATGTTACATTTTTTCCAGGCACTTTCGACCACATATTCTGAAAGATGACACATTTTTGAGAAGACTGTAAATCGGTATTCGAAAGTGCTAGACCGCTTTTTATCCATATAGATCATCAATTCCACCTATAGAATTTCAGCTCTTAAACACATTTCATTGCTGATTATGAAATTTTTTAGTTTCATCACTGTATCAAGAAGTATTTGTTAGCATTCATCATGGAAGGTATAAGAACCGAGAAAATAATCTATAAATCCATGTGTTTTAATCTTAACGAAAGCTGACCCTCTTAGACCAATGCTCCAGCTGTTCGCTGCCATTAGAGATGTAAATATAATTTCTGTATCAAATATTAGTATTTTAAACTTTGAAAATCCGAACGGGTTTTGTAATGACTCTTCAAATTCTACTTTCTAAACAGAGTTTGCTGCCAGTTGATAATTTTAGAAAATAGTCTTTTGAATACCAAGAGCCCAATTTGACAACGTGTACTTCTGCTCAAATGTACTATACACTCTACTCTATCTATCGATAAAACAATAATTTCTTTAGGAGCTTTCTTCCTTACTGTACGGTCAATTTTTTCAACCCACTGTATCAGGAAAAATCGAAGGTTTAATTGAAGATTATTTATTCAACAACTTTTCACTGTGAAGAACGAAGCATTAAAACCTTTTCTGATGTCTCATAGTAGAGCAGAGCTTTATTTCCTTTAACTAGTGTGCTACAAAATTTGTTTACAGACTAGGCAGAAGTGTTTTGAACGATATAAAGAAAGGCTGTCGTTGTCCAGTTCTGTTCTATTTACAAATCTTCCACCGTCTTCCAATATTCATCCCAACCAATTCCTTCATGAACCCAATCTTTTTTACCAACTGGAAAGAGAGCATCCATTGTCATTTGTGCAATTTTCAAATAGGGCAATTTATCTTTCTCTTGTGCACTATCAAATTTTTCAGCATAGATCAGTGCTCTTACTGTCTTTGGTATATGTTCATCTGGATGTGTTAAACATTTTTCAACGAGAGGTAGCCATGGATTTTGTGCATCGGGATACAAATGTTCTTTCGATGGTTGATATTCGTTGAGTAAATAATTCAGTTCTAACTTTGGTCGTCCACGTGCAACATAGTAAAGGAGATCAACTGCAAATTTGGCTCTCAAGATTTTCAATTGATTTTCTTTCTTTTTCAATGAATGAATGAAGATGTCCAAGAACAGACAACTCGTTGTTGCATGCATCAGGAAGAAATCGAGACGAAGTGCTTTCTTTGGCCGTATGACAGCTGCATTCACCAAAACACCGACTCTTCTCAGATCATCTAAATCAGATTTCCACATTTGAGCATACTCTGCAATCAAAGGGCCACCATCTCGTTCCAATAATTTATCTGTTTTGCCTTCTTCATCGTTGTAGAAAATCTTCTCGTCGAAACGTTGATCTTCGGCAATCAATTTAATAATGTCCAAGGCTGTTTTATCGCCATCTTTGTTTTGGTCACACTTCAAATGTTCTAAGACGTCTCTGACACTTGCTCGATCAGTTGATGCCATTGCCAACCCTTCAACTGTCATTACTTTCGATTGAAATTCCAAGGCATACCCGAGGTGAATAAATGAATGATAGGCACCACCTAATACGAGAACGAGATAATCTTTGTTGAATAAATAATCTTCAATTAAATCTTCAATTTTCCCCTGATACTTCTCATTTTCCAGTTCTTTTCTAAAGAATTCCAAATAGTCATGGTAGTAATTTTCATCACCTAAACATTTCTTCACGTCGAAGTCTCTTCTATCGTGAAGTGGACGTATGGACTGTTGCCTTTTCTTCTGTTGTTTATAGATACGTTCCAATGTTTGAGATGAAGCACCAAGGCCTAAGGCAACTAGAAGATGATGTGTGATATGATTGTGAAAACCACCTTCACTATTAAAGAACACGTGATGGTGTTCGTGATTCTGTTGAAGGAGACGAGAACAGGTTTCGATTGTTTCAGCAGTAATACAGGTAAGAGATAGATATAGGGATTTTTGATAAATGAATGAGATGAAAGAGCGTACATATTCATTCTTGTAGAAAACTAGTTGTTTGAAAAATTAATACAAGGACTGATATGAAAAGGAGTCACACTATAGACTATATATATATCTACGCCACGTCCATCTAACGTGCATAAGCTATCATCACGATGATAATGCATTTATTGTCTGTTCTTCGTACGTTTCTGCCGTTCGAACGTATAGCTTACTTTTCACCTACTTCTTTTTATCTTTTCCTTTTCTTTTCTTTATCTAGATATACATCTGCTTTACAGTTATTTAACAAATAGAACGATTACATGGCAAAACGACTATATTTAGAGAAATTAAATAAAAAAGATGAAACCAAAAAACCTTGCTGTGGCTTGTATACCTCGTTCAATTTC